GTCCGTTTCTGTGTCTATGTGTGTGTGTGTGTGATAGAGACAGACAGACAGACAGAGGCACAGAGAGATAGAGGGAATAAGAGACAGACACAGACACAGAAGGATGGAGGGGAGAGATACACAGAGACAGACAGACAGACAGACAGACAGACAGACACACAGAGAGAATCACATAGAGAGACACAAAGGGAGGGAGGGAGAAAGAGGCAAAGAGCCATACACACAAACACACACAGAGACAGACTCACACAGAGACAGAAAGAGAAAGAGAAAGGAAGGAAGAAAGAAAGAAAGAAAAAAGAAAGAAAAAGTGAGAGAGAGATGAAAGAAAAAAAGAAAAAAGGGACAGAGAGATAAAAGGAAGGAAAGAGAGAGAGAGAGGGAGGGAGGGAGGGAGAGAAAACACATGGTCAGCAAGCCACTCCCACAAAGGAGGCCACACCCACAGAGTAGGTTCAAAAAAATTTGAAACCCACCACTGAAATGCAGGCAATTATGATTTCCTTAAAAAACTAATTGGGAGTGGTTTATTGTAAGATGTGGAGCCAGACTCTGTGTTGCTCGATTCCTAGAAAAGAATTCAAGAGACGTGGCCTCTTCCAAACAGAAAACCTCTGTAACTAAACTCATTGGGGTTCCCTTTGGAGATGGATTTCAGTTCTGTTGCAACCTTTTTCTTGCAAGACCAGGAAGATCTTTAGAGATCTCAGGTGTCATCATCTTTTTACTCTGATGGCCTTGTCAAATATAACCAGAATTAGGATGGCCCAGTGGTTATCACCTCCAGGATGCCATGTATTGTGGTCAGTGGGTGATAGCTCAGTTGACTTCAGCAATATTGTGTTATCTTTCACACATACCAACCTTCTCATGAACACAAATGAGCAAACAAGTAAGTTTCAAACTGGCCGTTGAAGTGAAGGTAGATTTGGAATCCTTCCAAATGGACCCCATAAAGGCACCGTAATCTTCAAAGGGTGTCCAACAACAATATCTCTGTGTTTGCATTTTGGATCATTCACCACACAGAAAAACAGAATAATAGGGTTGGAAGGGACATTGGAGATCTTCTAGTCCAACCCCCTGCTCAAGCAGTAAAACCTATACCATTGAAAACAAATGGCTGTCCAATTTCTTCTTAAAAGCCTGCAGCGATGGAACCTCTACAGCAGGGGTGTCAAACTCAAGGCCTGGGGGCTGGATCCGGCCTGCAGGGTGCTTAGATCTGGCCCATGGGGCTGCCCTGGAAACAGCAATGGACCAGTCCACGGTGCCTCTGCCAGCAAAAACAGAGCTCTGTTTTTCGCTGGCAGAGGATTACAGAAGGTTGGCACAGCCAAAAACAGAGTTTGGGAGCCTGTTTTTCCTGGCAGAGTGCTTGGGCCACCACAGGCACTCCCCACCATGAGTAACGTTGAGCTGGCCATGGTCTCCCAAGGTCAAACACAACCCTGATGTGGCCCTTCAATGAAATCGACACCCTGCCCTATAACCTCTGAAGGCAAGCTGTTCCACTGGCTAATTAGTCTCACTGTCAGGAAATTTCTCCTTAATTCTATGTTTATTCTCTCCTTGATTAGTTTCCATCCATTGCTTCTTTCTCCTGCCTTCGGGGGCTTTGGAAAATAAGTTGACTCCCTCTTCTTTCTGGCAGCTCCTCAGATATTGGAAGACTGCTATCATGTCACCCCAGCCCTTCTTTTCACTAGACTAGACATACCCAGTTCATGCAACCGTTCTTCATATGTTTTCCAGCCCCCTAATCATCTTTGTTGCTTTTCTCTGCACTCGTTCCAGAGTCTCAACATCTTTTTTATAATATGATGACCAAAACTGGATGCCGTATTCCAAGTGTGGCCTTATCAAAGTATTATAAAGAGGTATTAACACCACATGATCTTGATTCTATCCCTCTGTTAATGCAACCTAAAATAGTATATTGAAAGCAATCCCCAATGTCCAAAACCCTCCCCCCTGGGAGAGCAGTCCAATCAGGTCTTGTTCTGATGTTTTGGGAACTCAGTGCCTCAGGTGCCAGTGTAAATTTCTTTCCCAGGATTGGCACCCTTGAAGCTCGGCAGATAGCTCTGTTTGGCACCTCTGGTTCCTATTAGTGTTCATACTCCCCCATTTCCCATAGCATCCCTTCACACGTCCACCACGTCACCCTGGCAGTTGCTAGCAAGCTTCAAAGAAAGCGAAGATGAGCAGCTAACTCTGCCTGCCTGCCTGCCTGCCTGCCTGCCTGCCTGCCTGCCTGCCTGCCTGCCTGACTGCCTAGCTACCTACCTACCTACCTACCTACTGTCAGAACCTCTCCATTAGATAATTAGGAAAGAAGACCACGAGACTCCATGAGTAGAAATCAAGTGTACTT